CCAACTGGGAAACTTAAAGGCATTGGATCCGGGAGTGGCAGGGGGCAGGTGGCAGCATTAAGCTGCCGAAGACCAAGTAGGCAAACTTACTGTGATGACAGCAGAAACAAAGCAAAGATCAGCGTGACCAGACTGACCCTAGCCTTTGGCCGATTAATCACAGTGTTCCCCAAGGTGAACCAGACAGAAAGCTGATAAGATTATATCCAAAAGATGAGAAGTATAAAACAAAAGAGGCCTTTATTCCGAGAACATGGAGAGAGAAAACCAAAAGTCCCCGACCCGCTGGAGTCCCGCTTTCTCTCTGGTGGACACGTGGCGTGGGGGGTATGTAAGTAGCCTCGGTTTGGGGTGGAATCTAAAGGGGCATCAGGGATGCACAGGTAGCCCATTGGTCTTGGTTTGGCGCCATAGGTTAATTTCTAGGGGGCAGGAGGGATGGAGTCACAGGTAAATTCCTAGGGGTGGGGGAGATAGGAGCTCCTTGGTTCCCCCTCTAAGGCTTCACCAGCTACAGTGTCCTGTCTGGGCCAAAACCCTTTCAAAAGTCTACTAAATCTTTACTGGATTTATAGAAATAGAAATATTTCAGGGCAAATGAGCTAGAGTTTCTCTCAAATCATAGCAACAAAGAATCCCTGCCCCTCAGCCAGGTTCCAGACTTGAGTTCCAGTTTACAAATACAGAAGCCCTTTGTGGTGGGTTAACTAATGGTCACCTTGGAATACCCAGCGGAACTGAATCAGCTCGGTGCTGGGTGTGGAGCGCCCACACCCTCCACACCTGGGTGTGGATGGTTACCAGCAGCATGAGAGGAGAACTGGAGGGGAAGGTGGGGCGCTGCTGATTCTCCTGGAGAAGCTGTCATGCTGGCTTTCCTGGTATGAGCTCAGCTGTTCTCATCATCGGAAGAGCTCAGGTCATTGCTTTCACTAAGGATGGCTGTGGTTCTCTCTTGGTGGAGCTCTGGTCCTTACCCTGAGTGTCACTTCCTGGCTCCAGTGCAGATCCCTCAGCCTGCTGGCACAGATCCTTCATCCCACTGGTGCAGACATTCTAGCTTCCATCACAGGGCTTTGGGCCTTCTCAGTGCAAATCCTTGATAAAGACTTACATGAGACATTGCCATGGGCTCGAGGTCTTTAGCTGACCCATTAAGGACATTGCTGTGGGATCCGGGTCCTCAGCTGGATTCTTTAGGTCTCTAGTACATGGACCGATCTCCTGCACTCTTCTGCATTTGACTCTTTGGATGAATATGACAAAATAACCCTATAAATTGCATGGCCTGTATTAAATCTTTTCCCTCTAGACTCTGACTACAACACCTTTGAATGAAAAAGAAGCCAGGTTCCCCTGGGGAAGGACCTGGTACAACACCAAAATGTTATACTATCAATCTCCTGTTGTTCCCGAGAGATTTGACCAGGGTAACTGTACACTGGGGACGAGAAAATGATTAGACATTACAGGAGCTAATAGGCACTGGTTCTGAACTAACACTGATTCTAAGAGATCTAAAATGTTACTGTGACCTCAAGGAAAAGTCCCTGCTATGGCCTGTGGAGGTCAGGTGATCAGTGGAGGTTTAGCCAGTGTCTGACTCACAGTGTCCTTGCTTTTTGTGGTAACCATTTCTCTGATGATTCTTTTAAAAGCTGTGTATCACCCTGGTGGGTTGGCACACAACCTTAATCCCAGCACTCAGGAGGATGAGTCAGGAGGATCACTGTGGGTTCCAAGCCAGCCGGAACTTCATAGCAAGACCTGTCTCAAAATAACAGTATCAGTAACAGTAACAATAACAGTAGCAGTAACAGTAACAACAGCAGCTATGTTTCTGTGAGGCTTTTAAATCTCAGCACCAAAGATGCACATCTTTTTGACAGATAATTGGTGCTTTCTATCCCTGCCACTCCCCTGACCAGTGTCCACAGAACTGCTTATCTTCACCCAGTTTACACATACACGGTCCCCAACTTGACAGAAGCTCAGCTTAGTGATTTGTTTTCCACTTTGTGATAATGTGAAAATGATAAGCATTCTGTAGAAACCACACTTAGAATATTGCAGCGGGATGTCTTCCTGGGCTAGCAACAGGTGGTCCGGTCCCCTCTGGCAATGGGGGACAGAAGTAGTGACCTACGCTCCCACTTGGTCCCAGATTATCAGAGGAAACAACCCACACTCTCTGGGGTGCCGTGTGAGCCACGGAGGGGTGGCAAGTGCGTTTTTCCAGTGTGCGCTGTGACCTCCTCACAAGTGGAGGAGAAAATTAAAAAGGACATAAAAGTATACTATTAAATATGCATTTGCTGCTAGTTTCTCACAAACACCTTTTCTCTGATTTGCTCTTTTTGAATTTTAATCTGCACCCATCCAGATGTTATTGTGGTAAACTGCTCACACGGTGTCTAGTGTTGAACTATCTGTGATTACAGTCTATTTGTCAGTATGTAGATGATATATAGTCCATATGTTCATAATGTGCAATATTCCATTTAATGTCATTTATTTTCTAAACAACATTATGAACAACATCATATATTTTATTTTATTTTGTTGTTTTTGTTTTGGTGCTGGGAATCGAACTCAGGACCTTGCACTTGCTAGGCAATTTCCTGAGCCACTGAGCTATACCCCCGGCCCAACATCATACATTTTAGCCATATTGATAGCAAAATTTTCTCTGTGGAACCACTGCAGTTAGAGTGGGTATTTCCCCAGAAGCCATAGAAGGGTCACTGGCCTAGAGCCCCAAACTTCCAAAACAGAAGGAGATTTAAACTATTTTCACAGATAGAAGATTATGGATCCAAAGTAAAAATTATGTAAATACATGAGGATATATCAGTGAATAAATAAATGAGAATCAAATTTATTATTTGTAGTGCATTTAATATTTGCTTATTCTCAGTAATGACTTTGATGGGCAGTATTATATGAGAGCTCTGCCAATTAATGAGTAGTTTATTTGTAGACAAAAACAATGGAGCCTTGAAATGAATGGTTTTTTGCCACTGCACTCATAATTGAGTTTGGTAACTTAATTTCTTGGATTTTTCCTATCTGGCTTAGATATTGACAACTTCTTTAATATCTTTGTCCCATGAATTAGACAGCATTTAGATCGACCACAGGGGAAAAATTATAACTCCCTCCACCATAATAAGGAGTCAATAGATAAAGTCCAAAATTGATTAGTTATAAAAATAGCAATGTGAGCATTATTGCAAAATAAGAGGGCAAACACCAGAAGAAACCTGACAGGATTTAAAGTGTTTGCTTCTGTGAAAGAGAGCAACAAACTAGAAACTTTTTTTGACTGTTAAAATAATCCTTTTATTTTTACTTTTCTTCACACAACAAGAACATAAGACCATTTCACATTCTTTTAAACCATCCTTATCAAACTGGCACTACTTTGATAAAAACTAAAGAGAAAATTTAGAGCTTATAAACTCAGAAATAGCACAAAATCTATTTCTGAAACCTATGACATCTCTGGTTTTTCGTCTCCCCTGGTTGGCCAGGATTTCTTTATCCAGGAGGAACACACACAGATATCGTGGGTTATTTCCACAGTTTCCTGCAGAGGTGTGCTTTGCATTTTTGTATCTCTGCACACGTGTTCTTCTTTGCCCCTGGAAGCATTCTGAAATACTGACTTTCCACCAAGTAAATGTTAGGGGGTGCTTTTGACCTCCCATAAGAAAGGATGTAACCAGCCATTGTGACAGTAAGCTGTGGTGTCGGCTTTAATAAGAAGAGCCCCCACTGATGGGGTTAACAGAGCTCTGGGTGTGGCAATTGATTTTGTGAAGAGGAAAGCACAGCCTTGTATGAGTAGCATCAACCAATAAGCTTGTAGCCCGGACGGAATAAAAAGGGAGAGAAGCAGCTCCCCTCTGTTTCCTTGGAGGCGCTCTGACGCAGACCCTTCAGCCTCCAGATAGGAACTCATAAGGAACTCTGTGACGAGCTCCAGGTCTTTGCCTTTAGATGGGATCCTGCAGATCTCCACCACTGAGACAGCCTTCTGCACTCTCCCATCCCTGACTCTGCCGGCACCCACTATAAACCTGCTTTGTAAATCCCGTGCATTCATGGACTGATTTTTCTTTGATACCTGGTTGATGTGAGAGTATGTGGCTTTGCTTTAACAGTTAGTTTAGAATTCAGTGATGGCGAGAATCCTTGAGTAAAGACGCAGTCCCGGAGTGTCCTGGATGGCTGCCCTTTGTGCAGCCCAGCCCAACATCAGCGGTTTCGCTGCAAGGCTGCCTTGGAAGGCAAGGATAGCATACATCTGTCACTTTCGGGGTAATCGTCTTCAAACAGAATTGTGGAGGGAAATCTCAGTACCAGTCACAGCAAAAGGGGTTCTTGACTGAATTTTATTGTTGCTGATGTTTTCCTGTTAAAATACTGAGTACTTAGATTGGGGGTATTTTTTAAAACTACAGGTGCTAGTATATTGTCTTACCTTGTGGCTAAGCCCAGAGGATGTTACAATGTCCCTAAATTAAAATTTGTATACTTTGTGTATTTAGAATTTGTGTATTTAACAAGCACTTCCTGTTCACTGGTGCAGGGTGTCATTCCCTTTACACTCACGTCCTTATTGCTAATAGCATTTAGGAGTTTTCGGCAGCAGCCTTCAGTACGGGGGAATTTTCATTGAAAATCAAGGGCACAAGATGTTCCCATCAATGGACTGTGGGGAAAAGTCTAAAGATCAGGGTTTCAGACTCCTTGGCTAAATCTGCTTTTTTTCTCTTTCTCTCTCTTTAAATATTTTTGTTGTTGTCCTTTTGTTAAACTTTTCCAAGCATTCCAGGCTTAACCTTCTAATTCTAAAATCTGGCTGAAACAGGCATGAAGCCACATGCCTATAAGCCCAGCCCTCTGGAGGCTGAGGCAGGAGGATAGCCACGATTTCAAAACCAACCTGGACTACAAGTGAGAACTTGTCTCAAAGGCAAAACAGAAAAGGAAACCAACTAATGTCTAAGAGCTCGCCCAGGAGCTCGGTGGCTGGGACTGGTGTAATGTCACAGGAGGCGGGACGATGGCTTTAGACACTGTGATCGCATTAATCGGACTGGAGGAAGGACGGTTATAATAGATGTGACCAAGCTGGAGTCGACTGGATTTCGGTGTGGCTGATGGAGTGTGTCACTGACAAAAGAGGCGGCCAGGCAAGCTGATTGTGTTAAGCATCATAAAGGTAATTAAGAGCTAACGGTAACTTTGTATGTCTGTGACTGGTGGCATTGGTACTAGAAGGTACTAGACGGATACAACACTTGAGCCAACCTTCAAGGTTGGTCCAGTGGAGGATGGGAAGTACGTCCAGGGGACAATCACCACAAGGCATCCTCTGTTTGGGAACACCGAGCAGTTCAGAGGGGCTGCTGTGTGGTGTGGAATGCTGGGAAATGCGTGGGTAAGTGGATTCACTTCCTAAAGACTGTGCAGGACATGTGAGGATGACTTGGAGATTTTCACACAGAAGAGTGGCATTATCAGATTGTTGTATGAGGAGCACTGCTAATCAGACAAATAAGAATGCTCAGACAAGAGTTCGCCCATAGCTGTTGCATGGTGGCACAGACCTGTAATCTCCGCTCTCGGGAGCCTGAGGCAGGAGGACAGCTGTGAGCTCAAGACCAGTCTGGGCTACAGAGTTAAAGTTCAAGGCCAGATGGAACTATACGGTGAGACCCTGTCACAGACACACTAACAAACAGTGAGAATGTACCAATGCTAGGCCAAAAGTGAGAGCTGTGGGTGGGGAGCAGTGCCAACTTTTTGGATGGAGGCAAGTGGAGGGAGGGGTGTCTTAGCTGCTTGCCTTGCTTCTGGGACATAATACTTGACACCCACAGCTTGGAGGATTACTTGGGCTCATGGTCTGTAGAGGTTTTAGTCTTAGACTCAGCTGGCTCCCAGCCAGGGTGGCAGGGTAGAGGCCGTGGCAGAAGAGATGCAGCTCTTGGCATAGCAGTGGGAAGCAGCCAGGGATGAAGGGAGGAGAAGCACCCCTAGGCCCCGCACCCAGGGACCCACGTGTTGGGACCAGGCTCCACCTCCCAAATCACATCTAGCTATAAACTCTTCAGTGGACCAATTAACTGATGTTTATCACTCCCCATGATTCAATCACCACCCTGTAACCCTACCTATGAGCACACAAGGCTTTGGGGAACATCTAGAGACAAACCCAAATAAGGGGAGAGGACGAAATGCTACAAAACATCCTCCAATAATTGATTATATGCAACCAGAGGAGAAATATTAGATTTCCTGTTTGGACAGCTGGATGAGTGGTCCCCAAGTCTCTGGTGGCACGCAGATGCCCTGGGGTACAATCATGTAATGAAGGGTTTCTTGCTAAGGTAGTGTCCACAGGCACCATTGCCTGTCGGGGTCGCTCCCGGCCGGCAGGAAAGACACACGACAAAGTCTGGCGGTGTGCAACCTTGCCTTTATTTGTCTCCGCGTGGGCCCCGCGAGGCCTCCTCTCTGCCACCAGCCCTTTCTCGCCGGTGGACTTTCTCTATCTCTCTCTGTGCTTCCTGTCTCGTGGCGGGAGAGGCATTCACTTTTATAGGGTGACAGTGGCCAATCAGTTCAAAGCGCGCGATGCGGGCTGATTGGCTAACATCAGTTGTTGCTAGGCAGACTATCTTACAGAGCGGGTTGTTTAAGTCGCCAGCGCAATCAGGGGGCAGGAAGCAGGCGCCAACTTGACTCACTCGATGGGAGGGGCAATCTAGCTCAGGCTCCGCTCCCACCCACAGGTCCTACGTCCGCCAAGTAAGGCGACCAGTGTCGGCGGCTCCCAACAATTGCCCGTAGGAAAGGCTAGGCTGAAAGATTGGCGTACATGCCATGGCCAGCTCTTCCAAACTCGAGGCCCTTGAAGCACCGGTTTCAATGAATAACAGCTATGCTGTTGAGGAAGAAACACTTAATAATATGACATTTCCTCATGGAGAAGCATGAAAGGCTTCACACCCCTCTTGGGAAGCTATACTGGAAATTACCATATTAAAGGCTGATAGTAAAAAGACTCTGATACTCAGAGTTTCCCTTAGTAATCTGCGCAGATGTAGTTGAAGAGAGTGCTATGGGGAAGAGAATTAAGTGAATGAAATGGGATCAGGACTCTATAATCAACCATGCCTGGATCCAAAGACTTCCGTCCAGCACTGTGCCAGTAAATGTTTCCTAGCCCGCTTGGGGGTGGAGGAAGCTATGAGGAGACACAAAAGGTCGTCGTCATGGAGATCAGGACGGCAGACCTGCTAGGGCACTATGAGACTTGCTAGGCAGTCTTGAGTCTCCCTTGGGGGTCTGAGGTCATGAATTTAAAGTGAGAACAGGTAGCAACAACTTCTGCAGCCATGGTCAGCTAGCCGGGTCCGGGAGCTGAGAAGCCAGGGGTGGGTTTAGCTACGTTTAGGTCTTTTCAGGTGAGAATGGTTGCAGGAAAGAGGCATGAGAACGTCAGGAATAGGTTCAATCTGTGGCGCAGAGAGACGGGAGGCATGTGAGGGTGTGATGCTCATAGAGAGGTGTGGGCCTTCGCACTGGGCAGTCTTGAGCTCTCACGAGGAAGCTGGAATTTGGAGAATCAGAGCCCACAACTGGGAAGGAAAGAAGACAGGACATTTTTGGAAGTCACTTACTGGAAAGTAATAAGAATAAGCCATGTTTGTAAAGAGCAAGCTGGGCAGGAAAAGAGAATATTGGAGCAAGGAGGCAAAGATATGGGGAGCTCATGCTGATCCCCACCCCCTTCCGGGGATGCAGAATGGAAGAGCAGGGCAACTGAGCCAGGATCTAACAGTCCTCAGTGATACAGGAAGAGGACAGGGACTCCCACAGATGACAGCAATGGCAGCATTGCCACGTAGCATGAGCTTTCAAGGACCTGGAAATAGCAAAGAACATAAACGGTGCTTTTGAAACAACACAGACACTCATCCCACTTGGAGATGACATGAAATAGCAGACAAAAAGCAACCTCTGCTTTACGGAGTTGCAGGAAGAAGTGGTCTCGTCAGGTAGGAGCTGGACTGGGGTCCAGGGCCAGTTGTAACATGAAGGTTCCAACGGTTTACTCAGGCTGTGCAGCACCCAGGGCACAAAGCAAGGATTCAGGGGTGTGGACGGGGTGGGGGACAGGCAGGATGAGTGCATGTCTATTGTCCATGGCATCTGTGGAGGTGAGTGTCCAGCAGATGATGCTAATGCTGGAGTGAGGCGGTAGAGGACAGTCCTGATGGAAGGTGGCTAATGCAATGTGAGCGGAGGAGAACTAGGGAGACTTCACTGTGCTTTGCTTGAAATACCAAAAAGGCAGTTCTGGACTTAGCCTCTCCAGATGCCTGGTTTTCCACAGCAAATGCAGCTGTGTCCACTCGATTTCTGTGCACTTTAGCAATGACACAAGGTGGTCAAATACTAGCTGCGGGAATGATTCCTTGGAAGATGCCTAGGTCAGCAGCCTTCCCTGCCCATATGTTAATAGGAACCGTGGCCAGCATCTCTGCTCCCCAGGGCTGTGCATACTGGAAGACGCTTCCCCGGGAGTCTTTTCCCCTTAGTTGCTTGTGTCCTGCCTACCAGGAGCACCATCCATCCCAGGAGGTGGTTGCATTCTTCTACAAGGCCAGTCCGTCCAGCCAAGGGGCACATTCCCCGCTCAGATCCTATCTTCCTGTGGCCCGTGCACATGAATGCAGGCCCATGCCCTCTTGGTGCTCTGGCTCATGCATGTCCGGGTGTCACCCAGCACACAGCAGGTGCCAGCACGTAGGAAGGCAAGGATGTGTTCCATAGACCTTCCCTCTCTATATTCAGCCCCAGAACCCAGCCCCGTACTGCCCTGGAGCCACCCATGTTGGTTCTAATTTAAACTGATTGCAGTAAAGGAAACATTGGTGACTGGTGGGTGACACTAGCTAGCCTCCTGTGCTTGGTGGTTACCATCCTGGGCCAGCATAAGAACATGTCAGACATGGCAGAAAGTTCTACTGTAAGGCACTGATCTAGACCACGAATCCTATCGGTTCCTTTCTAACTCATGTTACTCTCCCATTGCTGCAGAGTTCACGAAGTTACCCCGGAAGTCCCACGCAGGAGACAGGAACAAGAACGGACGCAGCTCGGCTGCACTAAAGAGCGGGCATGGCTCAGTACAAGGGCAGCATGCGGGAGGCCGGCCGGGCCATGCACCTCATCAAGCAGCGCGAGAAGCAGAAGGCGCAGATGGAGGTGCTCAAGCAGCGCATCGCCGAGGAGACCATCATGAAGTCCAAGGTGGACAAGAAGTTCTCGGCCCACTACGACGCGGTGGAGGCCGAGCTGAAGTCGAGCATGGTGGGCCTGGTGACGCTGACCGACATGAAAGCCAAGCAGGAGGCTCTGCTGCGGGAGCGGGAGAAGCAGCTGGCCCAGAGGAAGCAGCTGGAGGAGCACAAGCTGAAGCTGGAGATGCGGCGCGAGAAGGAGCGCAGGCGCGAGCACAAGCGCAAGATCGCCAGCCTGTCCTTCTCGCTCGACGAGCTCGACGGCGATGACGGTGACCAGGGCCACGCGGTCCAGACCAGGACGGGCAAGAAGAGCCTGGGCAAGAATCCCGACGTGGACACCAGCTTCCTGCCGGACCGCGAGCGCGAGGAGGAGGAGAAGCGGCTGCGCGAGGAGCTGCGCAAGGAGTGGGAGGCCAAGCGGGAGCAGGTGAAGAGCGAGGAGATGGAGATCACCTTCAGCTACTGGGACGGCTCGGGCCACCGGCGCACCGTGCACATGAGCAAGGGCAGCACCGTGCAGCAGTTCCTCAAGAAGGCGCTGCAGGGGCTGCGCCAGGACTTCCACGAGCTGCGCGCGGCCAGCGTGGAGCAGCTCATGTACATCAAGGAGGACCTCATCCTGCCCCACTACCACACCTTCTACGACTTCATCGTCACCAAGGCCAGGGGCAAGAGCGGGCCGCTCTTCAACTTCGACGTGCACGACGACACGCGGCTGCTGAGCGACGCCACGGTGGAGAAGGACGAGTCGCACGCCGGCAAGGTGGTGCTGCGCAGCTGGTACGAGAAGAACAAGCACATCTTCCCGGCCAGCCGCTGGGAGCCCTACGACCCGGAGAAGAAGTGGGAAAGGTACACCATCCGGTGACCGTGACCGTGACCGTGACCGCGCTCGGCCGCAGGGAGGGAGACTCGCTAGCGACAGGAAACGCTCAGATTTCAGGTGCCACCTCGGCTTGGTGACCTTCGTTTCCTCCCTGAAATTTAATAAAGCCAGAGGCTTCCGGTTATCCCAGTTGGGTCCTCCTGTTGTTGGCGTTGTTCTTTGTTATTTGGTTGTTTTTTCAGACTAAGCTTGATTTCTGTGTGGTTCGTTGCCCGCTTCCCTTGCGCTCTGTCAGGTCTTGGCTAAGCAGATACACGGTGAAATAAGGGGTGTGTTTTGGGCCAACGGATTATGGGCACCAGACATGATGGACCCACAGATTATGTGGACCCAGATTGACTGGGTCAGATTAGCAGCACCCCCCCCCATACACCAGTTTCTTACTCAGTGATTCTGAGAAAACTCATTAAACCTGGGTGCCTTTGTTTCCCCAACCTATAAGTGGAAAGAGCATGCCACCTACCTCATAATGTGAGTTTGAGTTAATATTTGTAAAGCACTTAGAGCTCCATAAATGTCTTCTATTTCTTTTACGATCTCCTTTGCTTTCTTTAAAGCTGGCTGTGACGCAGTCCTGAAATGTTCAGGGTGACCTGTAGGCCCCGCCTCAGTCTCTGGCTTCCTAGCTCACCGTGTGATTCTCTCTATGCTCTTCTGCTTGTCTGCCTCCTGTGACACAGCCAGGGGACCCTCACCAGGGCTGGAAGATGCTGTGAACCATCTTTTTCATGGTGGTGATGATGTGTGCTGGGGATTAAAATATTTTTCTGTATGCATTGCCCAGTTTCAGTATTGTATCACAGCAACACAAAATGCACTAAGACATGTACTAACCTTCTGAAAATTTCCCAAGATCTCCCTACTGCCACGGCCACGATGACCATGCCACGGTGACCATGGTCAGCTTTGCATGTACAGCCAGAGGCTGTGTGACCCAGTGTGCTGGGGTTGCACCAGCACCTCCATCACCGATGGGAGTGCCAGGCGGGAACCGGATAAATGCATCCTCAGATCCCGGCACATGCAGGTAACTTGGAGGCCTTTTACTCCATTACCACAAGATGCTGGCCGTATCTGCCTGCTGAGGAAACTGAGTTCGGAAGGTCTAAATCACTGGGGGTACAGTCACAGGAAGTCAGACTGGGATTTTATGGTGTAACAAGAAATGCAGTCGCTCATTCCAGGGTGGAGCATCAAGCTCCTAAAAACCTAAAATTCCTAAATAAGAAGAGTGTCTTTCGTTGTTCCTCCTAAGTCCCTTTAACCACACCGAGTTTATGGTATCCAGGGAGTGGTGTGGGACACCAGGTAGCTCCAAGATGCGGCTGCTCAGTAGAAAGCCCTGGTAGGTGTTGAGAGAGTTGTGGTTTTTATCCCTACCCATCAACCCCTGGGAAGCAGAAAGGAGCCAAGAGCTGTGTAAAGCTTTCGGGTGGTGAATGCACCCAGCGGGGGAACACCGGTGCCTCGAAGTTCCCCCAGGACAGTTCTGCCGTGCTTAGGACCCCGCAGGACCTTGCTCTGTGTACCTCTGCATCTGGACCCTTTGCAGCATCCTTTGAACTAAGCCAGTGATGTAAGTTAAAGATTTCCCTTGGCCTGTGAGCTCTTCTAGGAAAGGGAGCCATGGGAGCCCACGGCCAGCTGATCTGAAGTACAATGGCATAGAGCTGAGCAAGGCTCAGAAGAGGGGGAGCCTTGTTTGACTGAGTCCTTAGCCTGTGGGTCTCACTGCAGGAGGGTAACCAAATTGATCTCTGAATACAGCATGTGTCTGAGAACTGGTCAGGACAGGAGGAAAAGCCCCACACACCTGTGTTAGAAGTGTTTCCTATGAGAGCTTTGACAAACATTTAGGCTCAGAGATTTGGACCTAAATGTGGCATCAACACCTAAGATTTGCTTTTGTAACTTCATGTTTATTCAACACTGTGAATTGTATGAAGACCTAATTCTACAAGGCTTCTGAGAAAAGCATCTGTCTCTTCCCTTCCTGTCACTTTCAGTTGCCCAGAGGTAACTACTTTTTACACAGATACTCGTGAAACTTACCTCTGTCTCTAAGTAACGCTTATCTTGCTGAGACTTGAGTTTTCAGGGTTAGGCCTCCCCCTTGGTTTCCTATTATGAATGCAAAGTTCTCTTTCTTCCTTGTATTTCTCTATCACACGTGAACACTCTTTACCCTCATCCTTCCCGTAGACATAAAAAATCATTTTGAAATCAATATTCATATGTTTGCAATATGACCATATAAATATCTCACAGTTTATCATAAGCATTATTTTTTTCTGGAATAAATGATACTCTTACTTTCTATTTTGATTGAATTTGTGTCTCCAGTATTAAATCAGCCTTATGCTTCCTGTCAGTTGTCTGCATCTCCTCACTGGCATTGTCAATGTGAATCAAAAACAGAAATTCCTCCAAGATCACGAGTGTATCAGGAAGTGACAGTGTGTTGCAGCCTGGGTTAGGTGGTGCCACGGTGAATGATGGGATGCCATCGCTGGACTCAGGGAGTCTGACTTTAGTTTCTTCAAACTGTATTATTTATTATTATTATTACTAGATATTATTGCTTCTTAGTATGCCTTGTAATTCTGTTTTACTCAAATTTGGTACAAGACCTGCTGTAGATAGGCCTTTCATTGGGCAGGGGGATGCTCCATGGCCCTGTGGTTAGGGTTTAATCCTGTAATAGCTTGCCTGACTAAATGGGGGACTTCACACCCATCCCCCAGCTCCCTTCCAGTCCCTGTCCCTGCCATCTACACCTGTCAGGGTGGCTGGTGGGGCGGGAACTGGGTACTTCCTTCCTCCTACAGGAAGAGCATTGGCTGGAGTTAAGTATCACCCTTCCCTGTGTAGTTAGGCTCTGATGGTAACTCAGCAGGTTAGCCTCTGTTAACCAGCTTCTAGGGCAGGCCTTGTTAAGGAGAACACAGTGTCCTGACATTTAAATGGCCCCTGTCCCCTGCCACTGTGGGAAGTTTGAGCGGATTTTCTTTACTATGCACCAGGAGGACCTGGAGGTACAACTCCCAACTCCCCCTTACCCCCCGCCCCGCCCTGGTGAGCGGCTCTCCCCAGGGTCTGGAATTCTCAGATTTGTGCCCAAGGAGCCTCCAGCATTTCAGCTATTGCCGTGGTGTTTCCTTCCCCGGCACTGGTCTCTGCGGCCTCTGCTGGCAGGCTCTGCCCCGTTAGCTGGGATTGTCTATGCCTGCCTGGTTGGCTATCTGCTTTGGGGGTTTGCTGGATGACTTCACTTTCTCTGTTTTTCTCTTTTTATCACCTTGTCTTTAGGATGGAGTGGCGACTTCTAAGCTCTTTATAGAGCAGACCAAGAACCAGATGCTTCCTCCCTCAATATTTAGAAGGTTTAAGCACCCTAATCATTTCAGTTTCTTGAAAATGCATCTCCTGCAGCCCACCCCCACCCCGCTACTTTCTGGCTGACGTTCCTGAAGCTCCCTTTGCAGTGATCCTGAGAATCTGCTCCACCTCTCTGTGGTTAAATCCCATCTTAAGTTTCCCGCACCCCGTATTCTTCTTTCTCGGTTTGTTTCATTCTGTTGACAACGTGTCCTCCTCTTGCTTAGGATCCAGGGTGTTTGAGAAGTGTCTATTTTTAAAGCACGAAAAGCCAAACTCTTCTACTTTGCTTTATGGCTGAAAGTTTGGGAGAACGCAAATCACTTTCTCTCGGAATGTTAAAGGCTCCACAATCTTACCATTTGCTTTCTAGTGGATTTCACTCAACCCACTTAGCAGAAGCTCAGGTAGAGGAGCTTCACATGCACCCAGGAAAACTAGCAAGACATCCATCCCTGACCTGCCTCAGAGGAGCAGCAGACCAGCCTCCCCTTCTCCTTCCTGTCTCAGAGGTGTCTGCCTGCACATTCGGGCTGCCCTGCCCTGCATCACAGGGCTTCTCCTCCAAGGCAGGGGCTCCCTGCCTTGCTGAGTCAGCTGGCTTCACAGCCCCCTGCCCAGGATGCGGGCTCTCCCTCACTCCTCCATTTTCCAAAGCACTTCATACATGCCCTATATTCAGTACTAGGCTGTGCTTTTTCTCGCATTTCTGTGGTTCTTCACAAATTCCTCATGCCCAGATGACTTTATGATTCCTGCTTCCTCCAAGTGTCTAAATCACAAAATACAAAGTGATGAGATGGAAGGCAAGCTCTTCCAGGACACCTTAGCATAACTAACACTACTCAATCCCCAGACCACACATGAGCCCATGTCTTTCTGGATGGACTTCAAAAACAAGGTAGATAGGGCCCATGGACCATCCTTTGGGGGCTCTCTTTGGGATGAACCCAGTAGGGAAGTTTTACCTCCTCAGATGCTGCTGATGGCTCATCAGACACAGCACTTCCACCTGCCACCCTACTCCTAACCCCAAGCTACCAGTGAAAGGCCACACTTGCCATCTGGCCAGCTCCCATATGAGATCTGTGTTTTGGATAATGAGCTGCATTTCAGAACCCACTCTTAAGGGTCTTGCAAATTACTGGCTGCCTTCTCTCTCCTCAGCTTGCAGAAATTTGCAAAAGATTGTCCTTCAGACAAGCCAGGGCTCCCTGTATGGTAGGAACTATCTTAAGCATCTCCTCTAGGAAGAGTCCTTAACGATATTTCTAGACAGAACTTGTGTCTAATCCTAATGTAACAGGAACACATATGGTGATTGGTACTTAGTACTTTTGTCGTGTGGCGAATTCAGGCAGTTAGAGAAAGAACACCTGATCAGCCAAGGCCCGGGACCCATATTCTCAGTACCATCCCCAGTGACACATGGCTTTCCAGTTTTCTTTCCACTTCTGTCCTTTACTTCAAGCTCAGCACCGTGGTGGAACACTGACAGCCCTGGTACCAACTTCCTTTCTTAACATCTCTTAAAATATCTGATTTCCCAAATCCTTTGGAACTTACCCAGCTGGGAGGCTCTGATGCTGCAGTGTGCCCATGAGCATGTGTGTGTGTATACGAGTGTGTGCACACGTGTGTATCCACACACATTGGTGTGTCCGTCCCTTCAGACGCTCCACGGTTATCTCTTCTGTAAGCTGGCGAGCACCAGAGAAGGTGCGGGCAGACCAGAGTTTGGGT